AAAAATGGGGGATGGCGTTTCAGATGACAGACTTCCGGTGGGCGACTTGAATCTGTTTCCCGGGAGCATGCCACCTTCTTTACCCGACGGTGTAAGCCAGGGTTCGACTTTCAGGCATCTGTTACCGCCGCTACCGCCGAAGACACCTTTCGCGGCTGGCTTCGTGTCCCAGGGCTTGCCAGTTCACTTTGAGAACCCAAGCAGAAGTTTTCTTCATGGTCCGTTTGCCCAGTCGAAAGCTGACGTTTTGGAGAACAGTGACAGGATTCGCGACGCTGAAAAGAAGTTTTCAGTTGATCTTTCCTCCCTGGACGCATCAAGGCAGGCAGACGAGGGGTGCCAAATCAATCATGTTGATCTGAATAAAGACGCTGTAAGTTCTTTGGCTTTTGTTTCTTCTCTCATTAATTCCTATGTTCTTTTTGTGCAGGCCACAAAACGTGACGATAGTTCCCCTTTTGAACCAAAAGTGCCACCATTGGAACAGGGACAAAGTAATCTGTCCATGTCTCTCACACTTGGCAATGCAGCGGGAGAAGGGACGCCTTACAAGCTGCCGGGAAAGTTTAGCTTTAGTGACAAGGAGGCAAGGATAGATCCGGCGGCACTACAACTCGAGCCTGACTATATCGGAGGCTTGAAACAGGCTGGTGGTCGATCAGATTCATGGACAGAGGACGAACTGGATGCATTGTGGATTGCAGTGAGAAGACATGGCAGGGGGAACTGGATGAGTATGCTACAGGATCCTAAGCTATGCTTCTCGAAGCGCAGGACTGTCATCGACTTAGCAGAGCGTTGGCAAGCGGAGGAAGCAAAGTTGCTGGGAAAGCATGAAGGCCAGGAACTGGAGCGTTACTCGAAACCGAAGAGAGACAGGCGCAGGCACAGGAAAGACAGGCCAGAGCATGGCAAGTTTTCTCCGTATGAGTTCCGGAGCAAGGCTGCCATGCGCAGTGGAGTCAAGGAGCTGTCGAAACTGGTTCCAAACTTTGCGGACTTCAACTTTCCGGGGCTGCGGGAACGTCCAGGTCCTTTTGACAGGCCCGAGCTTCCGAGCGGTGTTCTTGACAAGTTTCACGAGTCTCCTCCAGGTCTCTACGGAGCTCCGCAGCTGCCTAGCTTCAACTTCGATGGCACAGGAATGGCTCCTCCTCCACTTCCTCCTCCGCTACCCTTGAAACAATCCAGCGGTGGAGGCGGGGGTGGCGGCGGCGGTGGCCAAAGTTCTACCGCAGAAAAGCCGTCGAAGCTGCCGCATTGGTTAAAGGAAGCTTTCAGCGTGGCACCAGCGCCAGAGGCGTCATTGTCGCCTCACGTAGCAGCAGTGGCTCAAGCGGTGTCAATCCTTCACAAGAATCACAAGCCACTTTTAGCGTCCTGGACACATTCGTGGCACCCGCTCGTTCCACCCCGGGAGCTTCCAAAGCGCAAGAAGAAGAAGAAACACCGGAGCCACGAGCAAGTCCCTGCCGAGGTTGGAGGAGGCGGCGGGGTGACACCACCGCCACCATTGCCACCATTGCCAGCGTTACCAGCGTTACCGCCACCACCACCCGGTCCAGGAGCTCAAACTTCAGGTACTCACTTCCAACCTGTACATTTACCATCCTTCTCGTTCTCTAGGAGCTTACTAGAGCCTCTCCCGTTAATCCCTCCAGTCCCGTTGCTCTCCTCCGACTCCGATCTTAAACACAGGACTAGTGGTAGCAGCAGTAGTGCTAGAGCAGCTCCATTTTTCCCAGAGCTCTTCCCTCCTCCTAATTATCCTCCTCTTCCTCCCTTTCGATCCAAGTTCCTGGATGGTCCTCCCGAGAGTAGTAGCTTAAGGCCGGAAGTCCCCCAGTTTCTACCACAGCAGCACAACAATTTTGGTTCATCGAAGCACAGACGCAGAGATAGTCACAGGCGCAAGCATCAGGTTGACACCACTAGCAGATCGTCGGATCGAGCAGAGCTGCCACCTTGGTTGATGTCACCGCCACCTCGGCCGCCACCACCACCACCACCACCACCAAGTTTCCAATCCACAGCAGCAGCAGCAGCAGTAGCAATGCCGGAAGTAGCAGCGGTGGAGAGACGAAGAAAGGCTCAAGCAGCGACTAGAGATCATGGTGACGGTGACGATTCATCCAGTGACACTCACTCGGACCCGGAGATCCGGAAGAATGGAGACGAGGACGTGGATGGCTTCCTCGAGGTGTCGTCCGAAGGAACAGTCTCGGACAACCAGCGATAGGAAAAAAAACGAAGAAGAAACATTCGAGATTTTACGGGAGATGTTAGGAAACCTCTCTTCTCTCTGGCGCGGGCGCATTGCTATCTAAGATTTGATTGATTCTAGTGGAAAGCTTTTTGCTTAGAAATGGATAATTGATTGATAGAAATCGGCCTCAAGCTTTGTCAAAGGACACCAGAACAAATCGATTGATTGATTGATTGAGTGATGGATGACATCATAGCATTCGATCCGCCGTTCCAATCCAATGACCAGATTAGATGAGGACGCATTGAATTCGCGTTCAAACCGCGAGCTTCGCCGCGCCTTCTCAAACTTCGTCTTCTCCCCAAGAACCCTAAAATGGAACTTTTTAAATTAAAACGGATGAGTACAGTTGGACATAAAATGTGGCAATATAGATGACGTGGCAGCTAGATCTGCTGACTGTACAGGTGATGTGGCAGCCTGGGCCTAGCGAGTGCGGTGAGCGGCTGGGCCTTCACCATCTTCCCGGGCGCGCGCTCCATGCTGAGATTCGCGGGCACCTCCCAATCGAAGGCGTGGACGAGATTGGCGAGCGCGAGGAGCACCATAGTGAGCCCCAGCGACGCCGCCGGGCACATCCGGCGCCCGGATCCGAATGGGATGAGCCGGCACTCGGGATCGCCGAATTCCACCACGGCGCCCTCGCCCAGCCCTCGCAAGTGCCGCTCCGGATCGAATTCGTGCGGCCTCTCCCACACCTGGGCGTTGCGATTGAGCGCGAAGACGTTGATGAGCACGCGCGTGTCCTTGGGGATCCCGTAGCCCGCCACGACCGCGTCCTCCATGGCGAGGTGGGGGATGAGGATCGCGCCCACCGGGTGGAGGCGGAAGGACTCCTTGAGCACCGCGCGGAGGAGCCGGAAGTGGGCGAGGTCGGACTCGTCAACGAGACGGTCAACTGAAACGACCCGGTCAACCTCTTCTCGGACCCTGGCCAGCAGGGCCGGGTCGCGGAGGAGCTCGGCCATGGCCCATTCGCACGACACGCCCGGGGTGTCCGTACCTGCGGCCATCATATCCTGGCCCAATCAAGAACAAGCACACACAGAGAATTAGAATATTTTCCAATCGAAAGAAGCGGGGGATCGATCGCTACCTAGGCCTAGGGATGCGATCGACCTAGCAGGAGGGAGGAATCGAGAGGCGCTGGAGTGGATGGATCGATCGGCGCTTGCGCGGCCAGGGATTGGATGATAGATCGCTATATAGATCAAGATATATCAAGATCAAGAATGTGGGAATGTTCTTGCAAGAACAGGGAAAGGGAAGAGGAGGATCTTGATCTTACCACCATGACGGCCTTCATCACATCCTCGGGGAGATGCGGCTCGCCATTCTCGCCGCGCAGATTGACAAGGATATCGACGAAGTTCTCCGGCTTCTTGCCAATGCGCGGCGCCAGTTCCAGCAGCAGCGCCGTGGCGAGGCCATCGATGTGCCGCATGATCTGTTTCATCCGCCGCTCCTGCCCCTGGAGATCCAAGAATCGCAGGAAGGGCAGATAATCCGAGATGTTGAAGCCGTTCATCATCAAGATCCCCCCGGCGATCATCGCCTTGAGCTCCGCGCCCACCTCGGGCCCCGGATCGCCAGGCCCGAAGTAGCGCTTGCCCAGGAGCATCCGCGTCATCATGTTGCTCGTCAGCCCATTGAAAGCGTCGCGGAGGTCCACCGCCCGGCGATCCACGGCGGCGTCGAGGATGAGCCCCAGGGTGTGGATCATCTCCATCCTGCGCAGGCGCTGGAAGCTATCCACGCTCTTGGCGGAGAAGAGCTCCAGCGTGCAAATCTTGCGCATGTTCCTCCAGTGGGCGCCGTAGGGAGCGAAGCCGATGTCCTTGCCGCCATAGGTGAGGAGCTCCGCGAGGATCACATTGCCGGGGCGCGACGCGAAGATGTGGTCCTGGATCTTGAGGAACTCCTTGATGATCGCGGGATCGTCCGAGACGACGTGGGGGATGGCGCCCAGGCGGAGATAGACGAGAGGGCCGTAAGCCCGCGTGAGCTTCATCATCCCTTCGTGGGGGACGGTGCCTACGTCGAGGAGATTGCCGATGATTGGCCATCCTCTCGGCCCGGGAGGAAGAGGAGGCGAGCTCGAAGAACTAGAGCCGGAGCTACTAGAACTGGACGAGGATTTCCTCCTGGCTCCTCTGGAAGAAGGGAGATTCAAGAGAAGTAGCAGCAGCACTAGGAGCGATCCCGCGACGGCCAACTTGAGGTAGAGCTCCGGAGTGGAGGAGCTCAAGAGCTGTGGGATTTCCACCATGGCGAGAGATCGATTGACCGTGGCACTCTCACAGGATTTCGCTCGTAAGTTATATCTATCTCTCACTCTTTTGCTCTACAGATTGTTCTTCCAGGACTTTCACTCACACTCGCGACACTTCATCATCCAGGACGGCCGTAGACACACACGACACGATTTCCTCGATGGAAGCCTCTGACTTGATTTACAGTAACGCAGCGGCTATTGTTGCGGCTATTTGTTGCGGCCTCCAAGAGCCAGTCAGGGTTTTTTCAACGGGGTTTAAGTGACACTACGCACGAATGCGAGAAAAAATTTCTCTTTTGTTCTCTTGTGTTTTTCCAAGTTCTAATGGTTTTCTTAGTTTCCTTCCTTTTAGGTGCACCGACTCAAGGTGCGCAATTAATCAGATTATTCGTACTTTATGTTCGATCCGTTTGACACCGCTGCTGCGCAGAAACTTTTATGAAGGACGACTCTTTCGGCTTCGGTTGAACATACGAAATTTTTATTCGGGATCCCAGCACCTTTTTTTCCTTTTTTTTCTAGCTGGGATGCCGTAGCTGCTGGCTGTTTGCCCGGATAAATTATTTCTACCTCCCTGCAAAGAGAAGAGGCTAAACAAATAAAATAATCTCATGTCTCATCGTCTGTCTCTCAATTCAAGCCTGCGTGAGTATGTTCTTGAGAACTTACCTGTGGAATCCACTGCAAAAATCTGTTTTTGTCATCCGGAGATGGTGGAATCGCGAACCTTGCTGCGGCTATGGTACCATTCCCTTGTTTTCTACGTTTAGCGCAGCCAAGAGCCTGGGCCAGGTCTCGGGAATTCCTCCACACACATCAAAGTCCTGGAGTTTGTTTCGCTCGCGATAGTAATCTTCTACTGGTTTGGACTGCAAGCCAAAGATCAAAACTTTGATGAGTCCAAAGGAGAAATAGAGAAGAAAAAAAGCGTTTTTTCCATACCTCTGCCGCATATATACGCAATCGCTCTCGCACTACTTCTTCAGTATCGTCTGTTCTGACCGTGAGAGTTGCGGCGCACGCCGGAGGTGGCAACAAAGGTGGCATAAACACTCTGGGAGAGTCCTCCGACTGCTCAACGTCGATCTTGGCGACGTTGTAAGTGCCACCGCAGTGGCTGCAAATTCTCCTCCCCAAGCACTTGAGCACGAGAACATCCTCTCGGAGCTTCAAGTTTACCACCAAATCGATTTCGACAATGTCGTCTAAAGCTTTCTGCAAAGAAAGCAAAAGTAATCCCATGAGAATGAAACAAAGAACTAGGTAGAACAATAGAAAGAAAGAAACCAAAATACCGACCGCTTGGATTGTGGTACGAGGAAATCCATCCAAAATAAATCCCGCCTCGTTGCTCAAAGCCCCTTGCTCAAACCGGTTCTTTAACATGGCAAGAATAATCTCGTCCGGCAGCAACTTCCCTTGGGCCATCAACGCGGACATCTGCCACAATATGAAACTTTTTTTGCTCAGCTCAGCTAGTCTCTAAATCCACGAGCACTGTATGCCACCAGAAAAAAAAAATGGAATTTTTAGCAGCACATGGCAGGAAATTCTTGCAAAATCTAGACATCTAGCAAGAATTGATACGCTAGATGCAAGAACACCGACCAAGGAAGCTACACAACTTACCTCTCTAGCGAGAGGAGTGGATTGCTTGAGCTCCTGCCTGACCAAGTCGCCCATAGCAATGTGAGGCACTGCTAATGTGGTTGCCAGGCGGCTGGCATAGGTTCCCTTACCAACGCCAGGGCAGCCCAAGAACACCCATTGCAAGCTCCGAGCAGTGCTCACCACAGCTGCCGCGTCTTCCTTGTGCTGCTCCTCCACCACACGGCGAACCACTGGAATGTAGGAGGAAGAATCGAGCTCCAGCGCCGATTGCGATAGGGCGCGCCCAGCGTGGATTCCTAGGAGGCGGCTAGATCTCCTTGCCGTGATGAGGGCGGCCATGGGATCGATCTCGGCAGCTCGCCTGCCCTAGAATACCGGCGCAGCGTCGAAATATCTGTGGCTGGCACTGGCGGGAATCGAACGCCGGATGGATCCATTGGTGGAAAGGTGGATATGCTATTTCCTTGTTGGGGATATTCTCTGTTTCGCTGGCGGGAATTGAACACGTGGCGTCGTCCATGGCATGAGCAAAACAACGCTTGTATTTAGGTAGCGCCTCGCGTCTACAAGCTAACGATCGATTGATCGATCGCTCTGATCGAGCTCACATTCTAGCTGACATTCTAAAGCGTGCACGACATAAGGATCCAAGCGCAACTTGCCGGTGCATCTATGACGAGGGCGCAGCTACTGTGGAGCGCATCGTTACTCCTTGCTTGCAATGTCCCAAGGTTTGCTTTGATTCCTTTTATGATCTGCTTTTACTTTAGCCGCGTGGAGATCCTAAGGTACAACAAGTGGCTTGGTTTCACTCCAGGTGAAAGAGATCATCACCATTTGCGACATCCTGTCCATTTTTCTCAGGAACTTCAGGTGTCAATTTGATCTAGAATTCTCGACACATCTTTTTCTCCTGACACGAATTAAATGCTGCTTGTTGGTGGTTGTAGGAAAGCGAGTTCTATATGTTTTACGTTCGTACCCGGATCCCACTATGAAAGTATGTCACTCTTCTGGAGCTACAGGTAATTCATTGCTCTTGTAAGTTCACGTATTTTTTATAAGCAACTTGCAGGAACAAAATGAATAGCTGTTTCTATACGCCGATTGTAGGTGAGGCGTTCGAAACATACGGGCTTATATACAGTATCAGTTAAACGAGAAGTATGTTGTGTTAAACTTTGGAGAAATGAACAGGGGCGGACGCTCTTCGAAACTGGCTATACATTGTTGTTACTGACGGGGAGCGTATTCTAGGTTTAGGAGAGCTCGGAATCCAGGTTTCTTTCTTCGTCACAAACTTTGGGTGACGAAGATCACCAAGTGCAGTATATAGAGCCAATTTCCCGATTCGAACCTGAAGGAAACTTCTTTGGTAATGTTGATTGTCAGCCTAAAATTTTTACTTGTTACGCCTCCCGATGGTTTCAGAGGTTGGAACAAATAACAAGGACCTTCTGAATGATCGTTTCTACATCGGTCTGAAACGAAAGCGAACTGTCCATTACATTGTTTTAAGCTAGGAATATGACAGCCTGCTTGACGAGTTTACGAGTGCTGTGAAGCAGGAGTATGGCGAAGGCGTTCTTGTGCAGGTATGATTCATTGTCATCTTTCTTGCTTGTTACACTAATGTGCTGTTGTTTGTCACCGAGGATCAGAAGCCTAATTGACTTACTGACAAGGCTGTTGTGAGTTTGAAAATTTTCCTAATCAGAATGCTTTCAGGTTCCTTGCAAATTATTCAACAATGCACCTTTTTTCAACATTCAGGTGAAACTTTGACGAGATAGCATGGCAAAACGAAAAGCTGTTCTTTTCCTTGATGCAAGGGACTGCTGCTGTGGTTCTTGGGGGTCTGATTGCGGCTGTGAATATTACAGGAATAAAACGGACTTATTTGCTGGTGCGGGAGAAGTGTTGTTGTCCTCTTGCCAATGGACTTTTCTTTTCCTGTCGTAGACAGGATCGGGAATTGCAGAAATTATTGCTCTCCACATCTCGAAAGAGGTAAAAGTGTCCCTGTATTCTTCTCAGAATGGAGATCGCTGACCTAGAAGAAGCAAGGAACATTTCTTTTACAGTCCATAACTTATGAGTTGTGTGTTGGAATTGCTGGAGTGGGTTTTTGAGATTCATAATTTTTCAATTGTAGCAAATAATTCTTTCTCGGAGGTTAGAGGCGCTCAAATACACACAGGGACGTGCCATTTTTGCGAGTGGGAGCCCATTCCCTCCTGTCGAAATGAATGGGAAGACAGGCCAGGTATGTATTGGAAGTCATTGTTTTTTCTTCTTATTACATTAATCACATCGTTTTCCAGCTGAGAGAAATTTCAGATTCTGTATCTTTCCCTATGCCCTTTTACAGGTGCTTATCAATTCTTCCAGCGAGGAGGCGGTGTCTACCCTCTACCGCTGAGGCTCCCAGATGAGCGAAGATATCAACAAGTCTATGCGCCCTTGCCAACACGGTGCATGCGTCCAGCACCCTTCCAGGCCTTCGCCTGCCTGCTTGGTTGATTCTCCTGGCACGACGCCAAGTCGCCCTTAATCAAGAGCAGCCGCGAGGCGAGCAACGCGTGGCTTGACTTTGGCATGGCTGCTCTCGCCTTTCCACCATTCGACGGGCGCCCGGAGAGACTCGTTACGCACTACTACCCGGGGATCCATTGCCCCCAGATTCCGTTTTGTTCGCAAGGGCCTGTTCAGGCGAGCCATGCTGCCTGATAGGATACTCGAAACGAGAAAGCGCTGATGGATGGCTTTGCAAGGTACTACTAGAGGCTCATTATGTTTGTTTTTCCTAAACTAGTAATAAACTCCTCACTGCTTAATTATCTGGTTACAGGCCGAGATGCTGCGCTTTGGTTGTGGAGCTTTTTCAACAGTGCTACTGATGAAGTGGAATGTCATGTATACCGCTGGTGTTCGTAGCCGCTGCGTTGTCTATTCACCCACCCATGAGCAAGTCTGTACGTGTGCCTTCCTTTGCTGTGTCTAAACATGTTGTGCCGTTGTCAGGAGATCGTAAGTTTTCCACAAGTATCTCCAGTCTCCAGCCATTGAGACGCACAGGCAAGTGTGCTAAACTCATTCCTGTTCTGGTTTGATATAACTTTTATTTCATGCAGTTTGAAGTAAGCATTTGTCATGCTGCCCACGGTCTTTTTCTTTTCTTTTTTTTTCTCCAGTGGTCCAGAGGAGATGGGCATGCTGTATGGGGGACTGAAACTGGTACGTTTTCGTTTTTACGCAGAGCTTGAATTATAAAGCATGCAGGGCAAGGACTTGTGCGAGACCTGTATGAGCATTCTCCTTAACCGCGGGATGAACTGTGAGGATGTGACTACACCGCTCGCTCTTGGCAAAGTCAAGGCTGGAAACCGGTAGAGTTTTCAAACATCAAGTTAGTTATTTTCATGATGATTATAAAAAGTTTTTCCTTGCTTCTTCCAAAATCGAATGAAAATATTTCATAATCAAAAACTGCCACCCCACGATCAGAAAACCATTTCTCCAGCTCCTGTGCAAGAAAATCGATCCCTCCTCTCTTTTCTTTCATGCTATAGATCGATCCCAGAGCTCTAGATTGAATGAGGCGCGAAGCAATCCAGTCGCCTCACCTGGAGCCACGGCAGCACAATAGTCCTCCAGCTCCACAACGCTATCATTTCCCCATCGAGCAGAGTTGCCACCTTAGTTGAACTTTGGTTCCACCACCTCGGCCGCCACCGGGCGCCACGACCACCGGGCATCCACAGCAGCGGCAGTGGTAGCAATGCTGGAAGTAGCAGCGGTGGAGAGATCAAGTACGAGCGAACCCGGAGATCCAGAAGAATGGAGACGAAGGCTTCCTCGAGGTAGCTCGGACAACCAGGGATAGAAACATCTCGCCCATCAATTTGATTAGACGATAAGTCCTTTGCTAGGTAGATTATCACAGCAGAAAGAAATCGATTGGCTGATTGATGGATGGATTTCCAATCCAAAAGATTGAAGAGGAATGTGATGAGGACGCATTTCAAACCGCGCGCAAGAGCACTACAGCCGTGGAATTTTTGCTGACTGTACAAGAGACGTGGCAGACTGGGCCTGCCCTAGAATGCGCCCAAATATCCCTTTTCTTTTCTTGTCGTGGATATTCTCTGTTTCGCTGGCGGGAACTAAACACGTAGCGTCCATGGCGTGGTCCAATGGTGGACACGTACGGGCAAAACAAGCAATGCTTGTATTTAGGTCGCGAAGGAGCGCCTCGTGTCTACACCTTTTTCTCATCGCTAGGTACACACTTTTTCGATTGATCGGTCGATCGATCGCCCTGATCGAGCTCGAATTCTAGCAGCGTCCGAGGTTTCGCGATGGAGAGCCAGCTCAAGGATATGAGGGGCGATGGGCCAAACGTGCTCGACAAGGATCCAGGCGCGACCATTGCAGGTGGAGTCCACGATACCTATGGCGAGGACGCAGCTACTGTGGAGCGCATTGTCACTCCCTGGGCTCGCACTGTCGCAAGGTTTGCATTGATTCCTTCTATAATCTAACCTCTTAGCGCTTTTACTCTAGCGGCGTGGAGCTACTGAGAGATCCAAGGTACAACAAGGGGCTTGGTTTCACTCTGGCTGAAAGGGATCATCACTATTTGCGAGGGCTTCTCCCTCCTGTCCACTTTTCTCAGGAACTCCAGGTGCCAATTCGATCTAGAATTCTCGACACTTCTTTTTCTCCTGACACGGACAAAGTGCTACTTGGTTGTGGTGGCGAACTGTAGGAAGAACGAATTCTAGAGGATTTACGCTCTTATCCGGATCAGCTACAGAAGTATGTCGCTCTTATGGAGCTCCAGGTAAGTCACTGCTCTTACGAATCATGTTTTTGAGAGAGCAACTTTCAGGAAAGAAATGAAAGACTGTTCTATAAAGTTCTCATCGATCATGTGGAGGAGATGTTGCCCTTCGTCTATACACCTACTGTAGGTGAGGCGTGCCAGAAATACGGGCTTATATACAGGAGACCTCGGGGCCTCTATATCAGTTTAAACGAGAAGTGAGTTGGTGTTAAACTCGCGTGAAATGACTGACCAAAAAAATTCTCTTGCAGGGGCAAGATTTTGGACGTTCTTCGGAACTGGCCTGAGCACAATGTACACGTTATTGTTGTTACTGACGGGGAGCGTATTCTTGGTTTAGGAGACCTTGGAATTCAGGTTTTTTTCCTAGTCACAAACTTTGGTGGAATTGTCATGATTTTACAAGTTTCCTTCAGGGCATGGGTATTCCAGTCGGGAAATTGGCTCTATATACTGCTCTTGGTGGTCTTCGTCCTTCTTTGGTAATGTTAATTTGTCAGATGGTAGCCTATAAGGTTTACTTGTTGTAGTGCCTCCCGGTGGTTATAGACGTTGGAACAAACAACAAGGACCTTCTGAATGATCGTTTCTACATCGGTCTGAAACGAGAGCGAGCAACAGGCGAGGTACTATTTGCTGTCTTTAGTTTTATATTGTTCTAAGCTGGTATGCTTGTTACAACTTCCAGGAATATGATAGCTTAATTGACGAGTTTATGAGTGCTGTGAAGCAGGAGTATGGCGAACGCGTTCTTGTACAGGTATGATCGTTGTCATCTTCGTTGATGTTTCTCTAATGTGCTGTTGTTTTGTTGTCAGTTTGAAGATTTTGCTAATCAGAATGCGTTCAGGCTCCTAGCAAAATATTCAACAACGCACCTTGTGTTCAACGATGACATTCAGGTGAAACGTTGACGCGATTGCATGGCAAAACGAAAGCTGTTCTTTTCCTTGATCCAGGGAACTGCTGCTGTGGTCCTTGGTGGACTGATTGCGGCTGTAAATATTACAGGAACAAAGATATCAGATCAGACGTACTTATTTGCTGGTGCAGGAGAGGTGTTGTTGTCCTCTTGCCAATGGACGACACGGTGTTGACTCTTTTCTTTTCCTGTCGTAGGCCGGATCGGGAATTGCGGAAATTATTGCTATGCACATCTCGAAAGAGGTAAAAGTGTCCCTGTAATGTTCTCAGGATGGAGATCTCTGACCTTACACACGGCAGAGCAATGTTGAGCTAGAAGAAGCAAGGAAGAAAATATGGATGGTGGATTCTAAGGTAGGCGCATTGCTTTTACCGTCCAAAACTTACGATTTTGTGTAGGGACTGTTGGAGAGCTCGCGGTTGGGATCCTTACAAGAGTACAAAAAGCGCTACGCTCATGAGCATGAGTCATGTCCAGATTTTCCAGCGGCGGTCAAGGTTTGTATGGCTATCCATTAAGGTTCTCGAGACTGATAATTTTCAATTGCAGCAACTAAAGCCCACCGTACTTATTGGAACAACGTCAAAGAAAGGCATGTTCTCCAAAGAAATTCTTGAAGAGGTTGCATCTTTCACTGAGGTTCGTGTTTCTTTCTCTCTTTTTTTATGTCTTCTTCTTACTCTTATAAATGATCCATCAGAGACCAATCGTTTTAGCTCTCTCAAATCCAACATCCAAGTCTGAATGCACGGCAGAAGAGGCGCTGAAATACACCCAGGGACGTGCTCTTTTTGCGAGTGGGAGCCCATTCTCTCCTGTCGAAATGAATGGGAAGACATTTACTCCAGGCCAGGTATGCTCGAAGTTTTTGTCAGTGCTTGTATTGAAACTCATGTTTTTGGGATTTTCTTGGTTTAAAATTTAGGCGAACAATGCGTATATATTCCCAGGAATGGGACTGGGATGCATCATCGCCGGAGCAATTCGTGTTCAGGACGAAATGTTTTTGGAAGCTGGTTTGTATTTCAAAGTATACGAACTTATTACATTTAACCACATCGTTTGTGCAGCTCGAGCTTTAGCGCATCAAGTGTCAAAAGAGGATTCAGAGAGAGGACTGATTTACCCTTCATTCACACACATCAGAAAAATTTCGGCTCACATCGCTGCTGCTGTAGCTGCAAAGGCCTATGAACTGGGTAAGTGAGACGTATACAGATTCACTTCTAAAATATGTCTTTCTTTTTCCAATGTAAGGTTTGGCGACAAGGATTCCTCGGCCTACTGATCTCCTCAGCTACGCACAGAGCTGTATGTACAGTCCTTCGTATCGTAAGTACAGGTAGATTAAGCACTATAAGTTATGTAAATAAGATTTTTATTAGCAAGTAAACCAATACTGTGGTTTATCGATTCTTCCATAAGCCAACTCATGGATGCGGGAGTTCATGGAATTGAATTGGCATTTCTCAGTGGCATGGCTTTCAAGAGCAGCGGTGCATCGCGTATTATCCGGGAAAAAATTAATTGGGTCTCTGGCTGTGGGTTCAAACCTGTGACCTTGCCAATAATTGTTTTTATTCTAGCCAGATATCCGGTCAACAGGTTCCCGTCCAAATTATGCATTAATAGCTTGTTAACGTGTTTGTTACTTTCATGAATCGTTTCTTGAAATTCTGGGCATGGCGCTCAGCTGGCACGCGAATGTTTCCCATCAGTTTGATTTGATCCAGGCACCCCCCGTGCGTCCTGCCCAAGAGATTCGAGTTGCAAGGCATCTGGAAATGTCAAGAGTGCTGAAGGTTGGGGTTAGTTGTTTCTCTCTTCTTCGCAAGATGAAACCCTCGGGGAGCTTAATTCATCAAGACACCACCCAAAAGCTTCCAGTCTGATGCTTGTTCCTATAGAAAAACCATGTTCAAAACCATGAAACAAAACAGAACATCTTTGAGTTGGTGCAACTAACTTAGACTCAGAACCTAAAGCTTGTTGCATCAGTGATATCCACTGTAGTCTAGTCCCAGAGTACGTTGTGAGAGCCTTGATCGAGCATCAGGTGAGAGCAAACAATTCCTCAAGAGCTGCTTGCAGGTTTAGACTCTGCATAGCTGATGGCTGACAAGAGAAGAAGCATGGCAAGCAAGGCGATGATACAACACAAGGATCTGCGAGGTTCGAAGAAGTCCCTCAACTGCTCCTGGGTACGTTAAGCCACTGCGAGCGTGGTAAGGGACAAGGAGAAGCTTTAAAACGTGACTCCACTAGCCTAGTCACTTACTCGAAGCACTGCACTCGGACACATCGCTTGGCGAAAATCGAAAGGTGGCAAAGATGAGGAATGAAGCTCAAGACAGTCTCTTGTGCGTTCTTGAGCGATCTGGACAAGAGTATATACGTACCGCTTTAAATCACAAAAGCAATGCTTGTGATGCTTGCTTTGCGAGGTATTGTTTGAAGGCTTGTCTTGGTTTGAGCCAGACCGGATCATCCAGCCAAGCGCAGCAGACAAGCGCTGCTCGGGTGAGGAACTTCCTTGTTGGAATGCGAGCGAAAGTGCGGAGCAGCGTATCGTTATCCAGGTCGCCCAATGGTGGCAGCGTCACCTCTGCTATCGCTGTCCTTGCGCCATTTGCTATTTTGACGAAGCTTACATGTAGTTAACGAATGGTTCCATCGCATTGTTCTTGACGACGAGGAGGAGACGCTGCTCTGATCGTCATAGATTCCTCGCGAATTTCGTCATGGAAATGTATGGAAAGTGCGGGCGCGCCGCGGATGCCTTGGGTGTCCTCCACAAAATGGAAGATGGAAATGTTTTCTTCTAGAACGCATTTGCCCACAGCAGGCAAATGCCAGAAGTTCTGGTGCTCTTTCGGCAAATGCTCGTCGATATCGAATTCTTGCAGCTATCAATGGCGATGTGGCGGAGATCCAGGTGAGAAACACATGGTGAGAAACACCAGGAACCTCGACTTAAGTTGGCAGAAGGCCCCGCTCCAGGCCTGGTTGAAAGACTACTGCTGGAGGGTAAATCAACCACGGCCTTTGGAGAAGGCGATACCCCTGCTGTCTGATCTCCTCGCAATCCTGGAGCTGAGACAATAACACCGTCACCATCTTTGGCTTGTCGTTGTAGTATTTGGAGCTTGGGGCGGCGATTGGGATGTGGCGCCGATCAGGCTGGGATGCCAGTCTCGAGCTCACACGGCAATGCCCTGGTTCCACCCGATGCAAGTGTCTGTCCAGTTCTTGGCAGAAGAAGATCTCGGCGATGGCATGCTCGCCAACGGAGCACCGTAACGCGGCGATGATTAGCGCGTGGATCTCCCCCGGATCGGCATTGATAGCTGCCAAGAGAAATAACTGGATGCTCGAAAAAGAGTAACAAGGGCAAATGCCGCGATCGCAATCTTCCACGAGAAAGAACCTCGATCTTTCATCTTCTGGAAGATTTCCAGCGCCCGCACTTTCCATACTTTCTATGACCAGATTAGCAAGGAACCTCGAGGCCGCTGGAGACGATTTTCCTCGTGGATTTTCCTCGGCCAGTAGCTGCTCTCCAGGATCCGCGCGTGGATCCTCTGGCCTCGCAGCCCCTGGATGTCGTCCACGTGGACAATCAGATGGATTCCAAATCTTGTTTTTCAAATAAGAGGTGCTGAAATAATATTTTGTTATCTCCCAGTGTTCATGGCTTTGTGGTTATAGCATGCACGCTGTAATGTTCTATTGTGAAGGGTTGCTGGGTTCGATTCCCATCCGCCTCGACTTTCAATTAAGAATAGTACGGTGTTAGGGTCGCCCCCTAACATGAACACTATTTTATTATTTTATTATTAAATTAACCGAACTTTTAAACGCAGTTTATATTAGTGGTAACTACAAACAAATAAAAGGTTAAGAGCGATACATCACAGCCGTTGGATTAAAGGATATCTTAGAATATACCATCCAAACCGTTAGATTTTAGTGCGGCTACGGTTTCGCGCTGTGCAGCGGAAAGCTGCCATCTCTCGATGTTTGGGTGGCTTGAATCCCTCGGAGCTCTCCATCCGGTTACACCCAGACAAAGGCGACGTTTTCCATCCCCTCTCTCCCAACTACACAACGGGCCTGTCGTGCCGGACTTGGGACGAGCTGGTCCAGGAGCTCAGCTGCATCTATTCTGACGCAATTGCTTCGCTCCCTGACACATCCCTTCCGGACGCCAAGACGCGGCAAAATGCGGCGATCATCCAAGGCATCCAGCCGCCCAAGGACGAAAGGGAGCCGGCTTGGATGTCGAAAACCGAAAACCGAAAGATTCCAAGGATTCAAATGAAGAAACCTCGATACCCAAAGAGCCTCACCATGGATTTTAGACGATTCCTGGTGCCGGATAGCCACACACAAAAAAAATTCAAAAAATGGATGGATTTAACAGCAAATGAAATCAATCAAGATGTGGACGTTAGATCTTGCTTCACCTGATATATAGAAGCGACTATGTTCAGGAAGTGAAATCTCCCATTACCAAGACAAAATATGTAGATCCTATTTTAAAAGCTTCGAAGTGATTACTGTATTGATGCTATTCGTGATGGATAAAGTAGTATCCTAAGAATTACAACGACTTCCATCATTAGGACCATCCAAGGCGTCGTTGCCCTCACGAAGAACACCTTCGGTCAAATCCCGGAGAAGAATCCAGTACCGTGGATCCTCGCATTTGCGAGAATGGGCATTTTGACAAGGCCGTTCACGAGATCCTGCGCAAGACCATTGTCTGCTGGATAGCTCTCACGCAAGTTTCAACTTGAGCGCCGCCAGGAGCATGTTTGAGAGCATGAAGATGCGCACCTTGGTTTCCTGGACCACCAACGCTCAAAACGCTTGAAGGACAAGATCAGGAGTCAGAACCATACTCAGGTGCTTCAATCCCTTTCGAAAGCTTCCACAGTCAGACCGTTTGCTTCTACATCCCAAAGAAACCAGGGGATACCTCCAAACCATTCAAATGCCATTTCAGCAGCATTCACTCTCTGCGTTATCTCTTTGGCTTCTTCCGATCCACTCTCGTAGTCTGTCACGCGTTTCCTCCAAGAAGACACAAGAGCATCGTACTCGTGCTTTTCCCACGCAGGCAGATAGCGAGTGAACGTTGTCCGCTTGGCTTTTCTGACATTGAACTCGTCTGGTGATGAAGCAGCAACAAGGGTTTTATTTCCAACCATCCGCCCCAAGTCCACTCACAGATCGATGAGATGGTATCTACTTTGCTGTCCAGCACAATCTCCTGAGGGAAGTCTTCTCTATTCACCACCCTGAGCTTTGTTACCCTTGAACATCAAAACAGTCGCTCTGGACTCGTAGATCATGACCGGAAGTACCAGACGAATGCAGATTTACCAACCCCCGAATTTCCATTCAAATGGCAGCACAACATCCACATGAACGGCACCAGGATCTTCCTGATCTCTTTGTACAACCCATCGAATATCTCCTTCAGAATATTGCTGTGGAATGTGGTCAGACGAGCACCTTGAGCAAGAAATTTCATCCGTTCCAGATGGAACATTGATCCACCATGCCTGCTGAGATCTCCTAACATAGACTGCATGTTCCCACAGGAGGCAAAGCATATTATTGTACGTTTTAATTGAAAAGCATTTAGCTCAAGCTCAACTCCTTAAAATGGACATTCCAACAATGGCCTAATCTTCATTATTGAGCTTAGTCCTGGGTTCATTTTAAAAGATTGTAACCGAGCTTAGTCTTTGTACTGTGGGTTCCTTGTAAAAGATTGTAATTAGAAGCTCTATTAGCTAAAAGAGTGATGGAAACACAAGGAATCCAATCACGGTGGCGTTCTTCAGGCCACTTTAGCACACGACAATGACATCCTCAATGTTAACAATCCACCTTGCGTGTACTAGTGCTCCACGATCGGGCAAGTCTCTGCATAGGTTCATCATTTGGCGAGGAGCCCCACGTAGCTACATGTTATAACTTATGCTCTAGCATTCTTGAGGCCAGTTTCGTCCTACTAGATGGTACATCCTGACAAAGAACTTTTCTGATTTCGGAAGTGAATGTGATCTAGTTGGGAGCCATTCCTTCCAAGACCATCTCCTGGTAGAGGATCAAATTAAAGCGTGGAAGAAATTCCCAGTGAGAGTGTAGGCCTACCAGTCCATGCGACAATGTTGTGGCACTCGGGCATTTGATCGAACATTGCCCGTGCCATGTGTGTGTGTAGAACTCATGCTTTTCCACGGTATGTATGGTTCTTCTCGTGCTCATTTTGCTTATACTATTGTCCAGATTGCTTCATTCCTCATAGATGTATTTTCCAAGATAAATGGAGGCCTGTAGTTCATCAACATCCAAGGCGTGGAGTGACCACAATGCAACTTGTGATGAGACGAGTTTGTGACCTT